ACAAGGTGGGCGTCGTTTTGTTCTTTAACATAATAATATATTTTCTTTAAAAAGTCGTATCTCGAGTTACGATTGTTTGGAATCGTACCCTCGACTTACACTATTAGACGTATACAACGACATAATTATGGCGGTCGCACTCCTTACCGGAGTCTTGGCGTCTCGCCACTGTCATTCTAATGACCTTACACACCCATCCAATTACAACCAATAGAGTAAGCCTGATTTCCTGTTTGGTGTTCTCTGTTGACATCCACCCCTTGGCGCTCATATGACGAAAAAACCTTTCTAAAGCTGAACTAAAAAAGACACTAGACTTATACACAAAAATGTACGTATCCCACCACCCCTTTGTCGTGCGCTTTTGGACTGTTTTCAATCTAAAAATACTCAGCTGCAAAAGCTTGTTTATGGTGTGTCTCAAGGTGAAAAGTGAGAAGCACTTCACTGCGCCTGTACGTGTACATGAAAAGTTTGATAGAAAACAACGATAGACACACATATTCAAAGGCAGACTTGTTTGACTGAGAATCAATGTGATATGAACCAAATAGAGATGAACCATCACACGAGATGCCCACCCCCTCCCCAGTGTGTGCAAAATTAATAATGGCATACTTATACTTCTTATTCGAATCGTCATCACTGAATTGTGAATGAAAACAAATATGGTAAAAATAGAGTAAATATTATCTAATTATATTTTTTTCCCACGTTCGGGAAATTTCAATTACAATGCCGTCTCTCTATAACGACATCTTTGTACAGCGATATGTTAAAGACTGTTCTACTGTACGGTTCAGAGACATGGAGGCTCACAGCATCAGCAGCAAGGAAACTGCAGGGCTTCAAAAATGGATGCCTAAGAAGGATAGAGGGGATAAAGTGGCACAATCGAGTCCCACATGCTCAACTGTAGGAAAGAACAAGCCAAAGGCCAGTAAAGGAAGACTACATACCAGTGAAGAAATGTAAATGGATTGGGGACACCCTGAGGAGACCCCCCGATAAGCGTCATCAGACAGGCTTTGACATGGAATCCACAAGGAAAATGTAAGAAATGAAGACCAAAGATGACATGAAGGCGAGCGGTACAATCGAAAATGGAAAAGGCGGGGATATCATGGAAACAGATAGAAAAGGACGCACAGGAAGCTGGAGAAATGTTGTTGATGGCTTATG